GTCGTTGAAGTTTCGTCGGAACGAAGTTACGGAAAATTAATTAACACACGGAGACGTAACAATATTTTTTCACATACAGATATGCATGGTATCTAATCGAAATCTACAATGAAATGTGGTAACTTATCCAAATTGAAGTCGTTATTTGAATTTAAAGGCTCGTTATTAACTTTAAAAACAAGAGAGAAAAACAACTGGAGAAAAAACCCCTTAAAACTGTACAATTCTCTGTAGAAAATTAAATGCAAAAATAATTTTTATTATGTCTATATATATATATATATTTATTTGTGTGTATGTTTTCGATAAAAAAATCTGTAAAAGGGAAGTTGAATATGTTGGAACTGTCTCTCACTTCAAATAAATTCTAGTTCGAAATTCATTGAATATGTACAAAACTGATTATAAGCAATGTTATTTACATTTTACAAGATATTTATTAACATAATAGCAATTTCTGTGATGCCGTAAATGATAAAATACTACTAGTATTTCACGTTTTAGGCCTAAGTATTTTCCATGATGGCTGCTTTCATATTTAGCTGGGTATATTTACGACGTGTTTTGAGTTTTCGAAATATTTCTACGTGTATGCGTTTCTACTCAGGAAATTTGATTTCATCTCGAAATCAGATTAAAATATTTGGTGTTCGAAAATACGTATCAGGTATTATTAATAACAAATCCTACGATCATCATAGTTTTATTTTTTTAATTTCGTCAAGAAACTTAAATTAAAGAGCCTCAGTCTTACGAGTCTGTTACCAAACCCGTCGAATAATACACGTGTTCGAGCGGGACATCTGGAGTAAAAGATGCTCGTTTGAAATCACATCCTCATATTAATATAATTATGCAGTAAATCACAATTTGTTATTATACAATAATGAAGTTTTTACTGAGTTATAGACTAGTTTATAAATGCCAAGAATTTGTTGACAACGAGAAGCTTGTTCGGTTTTTTTTAAGTTGGGACTGGCATCGTTGGAGAATTAGATTTAGGCACATCAGAGACAGAAATCAGTTTTTTGAAGTGTCTTTTACTGCCTCATCATATTTGATTGTGTGAGATGCCCATTTCACAATGCCAAAGTCTAAAAAATATTTTTAGAAGCTATAAAAAATGACAAAACTAAGATATATGGACGATCTTATAACTATTTAAATATTGCAGCACTAAAGCCTTTACATATTTGACAGAGAGCGGAGTAGCTGAGGTCCTTATTTCTCCAAAGCTACTAATACTAGTAATAATAGCTTTAAAAAAATGATAGTGGAACACTTAAATGTCAAGTGATGCATATGCTCCTTACGTATTCTGACCCCTCATCCTTGAAATATTGGGGAAGTTTTACCCCCTGATTTCTGCAACTTCACAGATTTTTTCTAAATATCGCATTCTCTTAATTTCAAGGTGTCCTTTTTTACAATATACCAATGATTACAGCTGTATATATGCTACCTTACATTATATATATATATATACACAGTAGGTTAACATCAATTTTGACATATATATTTACATGTTAAGGTAAAATTTTAAAAAACCAAAGGCACCTTTTTATCTATTTATTGTACACCGTCATATACAACTTCCTTGCTCCTACTTGATTTTATTTTAATATCGGGTGGGATTAATTCAGGATCATTTGTTGGTGGAACTACAAAAATAAGACATCTTTCACCACCTAAAACACACCCTTTTCTTTGAACTTGCAGATTTTGTTGGGGGGAGGGGACTTTTTATCAAATGTAAGATCTGTGAATGTGTTAACCAAAACCTTTTTTTTTTCTTGCATTTTTTTGGAATTTGCTGGTGCACCACTGTAGTTAGAGTGATCATGCCAACTATGAAGACATCCCCAAGTTAAATGTATGTGTAGTGAGAATTTGTGCTGAATAACAACACAAACCAGCTAAAAAGTGCCTATAGAATTTAGAAAACTTTTTTCAAGAGGAAGATTGAAAGTAGCTTTTCACTTACTAGTCTTAAAAACTATAAATATTGTTAAAAATATCATAATGAGTTTTTTTTATGATATAAACTTATTATGGAACTGAATTAAGGATTTACATTTTTGTTGTTTTTTATCTATGATGAAACTAGAGCTTAAAAGCTTAATATAGAGGAAAATAGTTGATTTTTTGTTTTTTCATTTTAATCAAAATAGATGTAAACAGCTTTACATGGAGAACACATACATGTGGAGAATTAAGATCCGAACATGTTGGTCAACAGGTGACCTTGTGTGGTTGGGTTCAGTTTCACAGGATGGGAAAATTTATTACCCTTAGAGATGGATATGGGGTCACCCAGTTGATTATTCCTGAAAAGGTGTGTAATTTTCTTTTTACATTTAGCAAAACTTAGTTTAGCCAGAAATTCAAGTCTAACATCATAATATCTGTACTCTGCCTAACATAACATTTAAGGAAAACAAAGGGTCTGTTAGTCCATTGAGGCTCTCATATCTATTAAACTAATTTCAGAGAACCTAGGAATAAATAGTGACAAAAACATGCATAGAGCTATAATGTTGTGCTATAGCTTACTCGATGATATGATATATAATATGAATTATTTTATATTTTATTGGATAAATGTGTAGCTCTGAATAGTTAGTTTAGTTTGGTTTTTATCTTTTGGCTGGCTGTTGAGGAGGGTGAGAAGTCACCTAATGTGCCAGATGGCCTTCTTTCACTTTATTCTTATGTATATAAAGGGATAGTGAAAAGAAAAATTTATAGAATATATATATACAGATAAATACAGTCTTATGAAGATATCCATAGATAAGAAGGTTATTGGGATAGTCTTGTACAAAACTGGTGTGGCTTTATTTAGAGTACTGTGTGCAGTTTTGTCCTCATATTACAGAAGGAATATCAACTGGTAGGAAGGAGGAAAAAGGCAGGCTATGCAGGTATTAAGATGATTTCTGGTTTAAATCACTTAAGCTTTGTGAAGAGATTTTTGAGTCTTGGACATGTTTTCTCTGAAATGCGGAAGAATGGGGGGGAGGATTGAGTCAGATGTTTTTAATTGTTAAAGGCTTTTATAGTCTTTCAGGAGTTGTCTGATTGGTGCAATGAAAATCTTTGAAATATCAACTTTAGTATTAAAGATAATAAGCTTAAGATTTAGTATCCTAGATGCAGTTTTGGTAGAGCTATAAATTTGTGGTTTGTGCTGTTTAAACTTGTTTAAGAACCTTTTAGATAGGAATATGGATGTGGAGTGCTATAGTTTAATTCTGTTTAAAAATTAAAATTTAAAATAAAAGTTTTATTTTAGTATTTAGCATTTTATTATTATATTTTTGTTTTTAGTGAGATGTACCTCAGTGGGCCATTCTGTTACCTTGTCATTTTCATGTTATTATTGTTGTAACATATTCTATCACTGGGTGGGTTCTTTTTGGATTTTTTGGTAAAAATAATGCCAAGTTCAGTCCACGCATAATGATAATGAATGAATTAATTAACTTCTATAACGTGCTATAGGCTAAGTTCATTTTGTTGTAGGCCTAAGTTCACAAATAATGTTTGAACAGAAATTTTGAGGCTAACAGTACACTTAACTAACAAATAAGGTTACTTACTGAACTTTTTTGCTAATTGATTGATTAACTTAATAGATGTGATAACTCTTGCAAAAGATACTGAACTGGACCACTCTGTGACACTCACTCAATACTTCACAGAATTCTGTAATTGAATCTTCACACATCAATTACTCATATTTATAATGTTCTTTCATTTATCCAAATTCCTTAGAATTTATATAATATTTTACCCTCCTGATCTTTATAGGTATTGTAGGATTATTTTTATGAACTTTCTAGATCTACCATCATCATCAAGACTAATAGCTCCCTCTGGCAAACAACTAAATTTTATCATTAAAAGTATGGCTTAAATCATTATATAAAAGTATAGTATAGTAGGTAAGGGGATGTTATTTGAAAATGACATATTTTATATATATTTTTAGTGTGTTTATTTCATACTTTCTATTCCTCTGTTCCATTGGATATCTCTTACACATTTGATTGCAAGTCATATTGCCACATTACCTTTGTAGTGCAGGAGTATAATATATGTAATTAAATACTAAGCTTTTAAAATAGTAAATCAGCAAGAGTATTTAAATTAGTTTTCTAGAAATAAGAAATTATAGGTTTCTAAAATGTTTTGATGTTGTGTTGTGCTTCAGTAAGATTTCAGTAGTATAAACTATTAAGTAAATATACACAACTAATATATTTGATATTAAGCTAAACTTAGAAGACTAAGCCTTAAATCAGCTAGACTTCTAATTCAAACTATTTATAAAACTGTGAACTACATGTACAGAAAAGTACTAAGCTGTTTCTAATTTTAAATAAAGCTGAGGAGTTGCATTTTTCCTATCAGAACATTACTTTATTAATTTGTCCTTATTTTAGGTTCCAAGCTATCTTTTATTAAAATTTTTAAGTAGTAGTAGTAAGCAAATGAACTGTGCATTATTTAGTTTAAGTGATCTTACATCTATATCAGTCTCCGGTAGGATATCTGATGAAAAATCTCAGCCTGGAATCAGTATTAAAAGTTGAGGGAACAGTGGTACAGAGACCATTAGAAGAACAAAACAAGGTAAAAAATGTGATCTTTTTTTTTGTATCTTAGAAGTTGTGTGTGTATGTAAATATATGTATAAAGTTCAATTCATATCCGAATATTGGAGATTGGAGATACGGATAAAACAAAATACCATTGCATGTTGTATGAATTCTGAAAAATCCACTTCAATAGTAATACATTATGTATAACATTTAAAGATGGCCTAGATTTCACTTAGCTTCATATGATTGTGATATTTTCATATAAAACTGATTTCTTCTTAGAGTGACAAGACAGGTGTGCTAAATATTGGAGATTTGTCAAGGTGTCTATTGCAAAATAATTATATGTCCCCCTTATTAACTTAATATGTGACAAATAAACAGAGACTGTACAATTATAATGAACAGTCTTTCTTTGAAACAAACAAGGTGAAATTGGGTACTCTACATGCCACAATGGGCACTCATCTCTACTGGATAGTTAGCTGTGAAGATGCTTTAAATCAGCTCAGATCATAAACAAGTCTAATTATTTTGATCTCCTGTTCCAAACTGAATAAATCTCATGTTACTTACTTAAATGTTTAACATCAAACTTATCCAAAGCGACTAGTGCTACCCAAGTGATTGGTATACTATGAGTGACTTTGTAACTATCCTTCCAACTGGAAAACAAAAAGTGCTACTCTAGGTGATTGATACAGAACAATAGGTAGCTAGCACAAACATGTTATGTGGGAACTTCACATATCTGCACAGATAACAATTTTTGAAAAGTTTGTAGGTTAATAAAAGGAGGTAGAACACACTTGATATGCTTATATACATCACATGAGTATGCTATTCCTTGAAACTTAAAAGTCAAATTGTCTAAATGCCCTAGATTATCATCTGTATAAAAATATTGATTTGACTTGAGCCAACCCAAAATGTAGCCTTTATCATGTTGCAGCTGCAGGAGTTAGGAAAAGTGCATCCATCATGTGCTTCTGGTCACCAACCATTTTGAATTATTTTTAACTGTTATGGGTGTAATTTAATATACATATATATATATATATATACCAATAAAAACCTTAGTTTTTGAGTTTTTTACAGCCCCTAAATATGTTCTTTAATGTATTTAAAAAAGAGAAAAAAAAAGTAACATATATATACACACACACATTATTTCAAGATAACAGATAACAAGGGACCTGCTGGTCTATCTAAGCCATCTCATCCACTAAGCTAAACTTCAAAACAAAAATAAATCACTCAGAGCCAGCCTATTATCATTCAGATATTTATCACGCTTTTGTTTAAAATTCCTTAAATTAACTATATCGTCCACATCCGAAAACAACCCCTTCCAAAGGCCAACTACCCTCTTAGAAAAATAAAGCTGTCTTAGCTACCAAAATTTATAATTGTGTCCCCTAGTCCTAACATTCTCACCATTAATTTTGACAAAAAAAGATGAATCAACACTATCAATGTCAATAATATTAAAAACCTCATTCAGAACCCCTCTAACTCCTCTTTTTTTCAAGAGAAAATAATTTCAAAGATCTTTACTTGTCCTCTTCTGACAACTTTTCCATCCCAGGTATCATCCTAGGTGCTCTTCTTTTAACCATTTCCAACAATTCAAGGTCCTTCCTGAGGTAAGAACCCCGAGACTGAACACAGTAGTCCAAGTATGGCCTAACCAATCATCTAGACAGTGAAATTATAACCACCTTAGACTGTATTCAGTATTTCTTGCCAGTAACAATAGTAAATTACTGAGAGACTGATCAAGTAGAACACCAAGATCCTTTTCTTCCTTAACACTGTTAAGGTTATCCACATGAAAATAATACTCATAATTCATATTATGATATCCTAAGTGCATTATGTTGTATTTATTATAAATAAAGACCATCTGCCATTTATTTACCCAAATTACCTAATAATCCAAGTATTTTTTATAAAGCAGCAGAATTCTTCTCTCAGCCAGCATCATCCAAAACCTTAATATGATCAGCAAACTCTAATAATTTATTTACAATTCCTTCATCTATATCACTGGTGTTAATGAAAAAGAGCAAAGGTGCTAATACTAAGCCCTGGGGTACCCCATTTATGACATTAATACATTTTGACTGAACTCCATTTATAACAATCTTCAGCTTTCTTACATCTAACCAGTTTTGTATCCAATGGGCCAACTGACAGAGATAAATATTTTAACAACATTTTTATGTGGCATTTCATCATATGCTTTCTGATATACCAAATCCACACCCATACCCTCATCTACTTAAGCAGTAACTTCTACAAAGAATGCCAAAAGATTAGTAAAGTAAGATTTTTCTCCTAAGGAAACCATACTTATTTTCATCTTATTTCCATCTAACACTGTTCAAGATGAGGAATATTGCTTAAATCTTCTATAGTATAAACTGAAGAAAAAAGTAGAATTTAATAACCCAGCCACCCAATAATTATCAGATATTAGCCTTCCGGTATCATCCCTCAAAGGCCTTACTCCCATCTTAACATTTTGCTTACCCTTAATGTATTTAAAGAAATCTTTATTATTAATTTTCACATTTTCAGCCAACCCTTTTTTTCATACAGTTTTTGTTTTTCTGATATCTCATTTGACCAACTCTTGGTCTTCTATAATTCTCTAAGTTTCTTATTATAGTATTCAACATAAACTTATTAAATTTATAATGCTTTTTTAAAATTCCATCCTATGTGCTCTTTGTTTTAATCAACTTGGTTTTTCACTTGCATCCACCTTTTTTTCCCTATAAGGAACATGCCTATCTTGAATATTTAACAATTTATTTTTAAAAGTTTTCCACATTGAATCAGTATATCCAATTAATTCACTTACCCATTTTACAGCAGATAATTCTTTCATCACTTCAAAATTTATATTTCTGAAATATGGAACCAAAGTATTATTTTTATTCCTTATTTCCATATGCAACAAAATATCAAAACTAATAGAGCAATGATAACTTTCACATCTTTATTTTTCAGTTTTAAGTCTTATGAATATATTGGAGCATTTCTAATTTCTGTATTTGAACTCTTTAAATATTTTTCTAATTTAAAGATTTTTTTTTTTATAAACTACAAATTAGAAAATGGCTACTGGAGAAATAGAAGTTGAGGTAGTAACTGCTGATGTTCTAGGAAAGAGTAAACCAAACCTTCCTTTTAACATACGAGATTTTCAGAAGGTAAGTATCTGGTTGCTGTAAGTCAAAACATGATCTGTTATTTATATCTTGCAGTTTGAATGTTGAAAGCAGTTAAAGCATTGAAGGTCAATAGGCCTAATATTTATTTTTAAAATCCTTTAAGACTGCTATGTTTTTTTCACATCTCTCTGAAATTGGACATTCTGGATATATATATAATGAGAGGTGTGCAAAATTTGCATTTCGTATCCACTGGAATTGATAAGTTAACAGAAATGTGGGGAAAAACATCATCAACTGTGTTATGTAATTTTTTATTTTGTATATTAGAGCTATACAATGTCTACAAAAAAAAGGAAAGAAAGTTTTTTTATTATTTGATTAACATTTCATCTTCTCACTTTCTTGAGGAGCAGCACATACGTACAATAATACATATGTAACTGACAAAAATAATTCAGTAATGTATTTTAGTCAGTCCTGCATATGTATATAATGCTCTAAAATAAGGCTTGAAGATAAAATGATAAAATAAGTTTTTTCCTGGAGATGTAGTTATTATTTTGATTTAATAGAAATTCACTTAATTCATAGGACTTAAAGAAATAGTGGAAATTGGTTTTAATTTGTATGTATAAATGTATTATACTTATCCTTAAAGGTACTAAAAAGTTGTTTACAGATTTAATTTTGAAGTACAAATCATAGGAATGAGTGACCCATAACCATTTGTTAAAATAGAATAAAAAGAACAGTTCTCATCGTATGGAACATCTGAATTATTTTGGACTATATTGAACAAAACCAAAACCATATGTTAACATAAACTAAAAAAGTACTATTTCATGAAAGTATTCTAATGTTGCATGTAAATGAAAGAGTCACAGTTAGCAATGTTTTCCACAAATTTTGTCAGCTATGTACCATGCTAAAAAAATGTTTATTTTCTCAGATAGTTACCTCCTACTCAATTTGTGCTCTCTTTCTCTCGGGTTGTTTCCTCCAATAAACACATATACAACCAAAAATAAGTTCTGTAGTAGATAAAATTACCAGGTTATTTTAGTATTGTTTAAAGTTTTTACATTATGAAAGTATCAGTAAGTGTTAAAAAAATATTATTTAAAAGAAATTTTTTTTGCAAGCGTGGTTCAATTATTATTAATTATTTATTCATATTTTCATCATCATCACATTCATTGATTGAGTGAGAGCTAATGTCAAGTTCAAGTACTTGTTTTAAATTAAATGAAGGTGTGTCTTGTGTGTGTGTGCATTCAAACATATATTTGTACTTTGAAGCCATCAAGTGATTGCAGGAGTAAGGTCAAACATTGCAACTGTGTTTTATGGGTCAAGTATAAGGGTTAAAAATTTCAAAAATATCACAAGTCTTCAGAGATTCATAGTGTTTTTCAAATTCTTCTGTGAGATATGAAATTAGTAGGGCTTTATTTGCATTCTGGAAGGGATGTTTAAGAGCTGCCAACTCCCTGTCCAAGTCTCTGAGTAGAGATAGCCGAGCAACAAAACATTTAGTATGTCTTTGTAGTCTCCTATGGTAAGAACGTCTTTCTGATGGAGGTTTTATTTCATGATGGCCCATATGTCAAGCTTGTGCAGCAGCAATCGTTGAAAATACAGACACTGGACTGCTCTCAGGAGACTACTTTCTGAAGTAGGCTATAAATTCTCTTTGACGGAAGGCAACATTTTAAACACTAAGTAGCACTTCATGATGCCAGAAATTCAATCTAACATTATGAAACTTCCCAAGTTTCTGTAATGGAATTCTCTTTTTTTTGTAGCATTTTTGTCTGTTTTTTTTTTACTTCCATCATGCCCAAGGTAAAATTTTAAAGGAGCTTATACATCACTTTTTAAATTTTCACACAATATAGAAAGTTTCAATCACTGGACTTCACACAGCTTTCCAAAGTATGAACAGTACAAGTGACTTGAATCATATTCTTATCAACTCTTACAAGCACTCTCAGTTTTGTTACAACAATTTCATATCATTTTGTATTTAGTTGTGCACCATCAGAACACACCATAATAAGCTTAGATTTCCATTCATTGCCAAGATCCATTTCTGGAAAAAACATTATGCGGCTCATTGATAACTGCTGAGGCAAAATGATCGTGATATAGTTACACTTGTTTCGAGACATGACTAGAAGGTTAAACAATTTGGATTTTCATTTCACAAACTTCTACTGAGCTGTCAAACATGATTGCAAGGATATTGACAACTTTATATTTTTCTACAAGTTCCTCATTCATAGATGTTGCTAATACAATGCCTTGCAAAAGTATTCACCCACCTGCAACTTTTCAAAATTTTGTTGCCATCTGAGCTTACAATCATGAAACTTTCAAATGGGACTTTATATTTAGAATCTACGCAATCTACTCCAAACTGAGAAATCTAAAAAAAAATGCTGATATTATGTAAGTAAGTTAGATTTTCAAAGAAGTTTAGAATATTCTCAATTGCATAAGTGTTCGACCCTTTTGCTACGGCAACCCTAAATCAGTTCAGGTGCAAAAGATTAGTTTGAAAGGTCACAAAATTAATATAATGGTCTCTGTCTGTGTGTAATCAAAGTGGTTTAACTTGACTTCAGAGTAAATACATCTGTTCAAGCCACAACTCGCATAGTGATATGACAAACCAACCATGAAGACCAAGATGCTTTACAAACAAGTCAGGGATAAAGTAGTAGAGAAACACAGGTCAGGAAAAGGTTACAAGAAAATTTCAAAGTTGCTGATTATCCCTCTGAATATGGTGAAGTACATCATTAAGAAGTGGAATGTGCTTCATACCACCCAGTCACTACCTAGATCAGGCCACCCTTTCAAACTAAGCAGCTGGGCAAGCAGAAAACTGGTTAGGGATGCTACTATGAAGCCAACAGTGACTTTGAAAGATTTGCATAGTTCCATATTTGAGATGGTAGTCAGTGTTCATACATCAACAATATCCTGGTCCCTACAAAAAACTGGCCCATATGGGTGAGTGGCAAGAAAGAAGCCATTACTGAAAAAGAATCATCTTAAATCTCGTATGAAGTTCGCAACAAAGCATGTAAATGATACTGCTTGAGTCAGCCGAAAATTTAAAACTGGGTTGAAAATTGATATTTCAGCAGGACAATGACCTGAAGCACAAGGCCAAAGCCAACTGGAGTGGTTTAAAAAGAAGAAAGTGAATGTCCTGGAGTGGCCCAGTCAAAGTCCTGACTTGAATCCAATAGAAAATTTATGTCAAGACTTGAAGATTGCAGTCCATCAACAGTCCCCAATGAACTTGTCAAAATTGGAGCAATTTTGCCAGGAAGAATAGACAAAAATTACATCATCCCATTGTACAAAGCCGGTAGAGACCTCTCCAAAAAAGACTCACAATACTAACTGCTACCAAAGGCACTTCCACAAAGTACTGACTTAAAGGGCTGAATACTTATGCAATCAGCAAATTTCAACTTGTATATTTTTCTTTACAGGTTTTGCTGACATTCAACCTCCTTCACACATAATAGTGTTAAGTTTCATCATTTGAGTTTTCAATAAAAACAAGTTCATTAAAAAAGATTGTTTACATTATTTGTGTTTCATCAAAGTATGACATTATTGATAGGGGTGAATACTTTGCAAGGTACTGTATGTCTATTATGGATTCTCCAGTAGAATCGGTGTGATACAGTACACCTACTCTTACTCTTAAACTTCTCACGAGCTCAACAGTTTCTTCATAATGTTGAATTGGTTAATTATTTTTTACTTTACGAAACACCAGTATGAATAAGTTTTGAAGTGCTTCACGTTGACGCTAGCTGAGTTTTGCTAGCTCTTTATCATTGATCAGAAGCCATTTTTTCAGACAAAAGCTAATCAGTAAATTTCTAACGAACAGGTATATTTTTATGCTTTGAGAAATGAATATGATTAAGTTGGCTATAACTTTAAAAAAAACACCATTTTCGTGTCATCAGTCTGTGGGTTAGCATAGTAAATTAAACATCTTATATCAGTTTGACCTTCACTGGCCACCAGTCATTCTACATATTTTGACCACTTCTTACTAAATTTGTATGGTTTCTTTGGAGCCTTGATCACCTTCATTGTCTGTGGTGTTACTTGACAGACCAAGAAATTCTGATTATATAGTCTTGTTACTAGAACCGTTTAAGAATTATATGGCAGTTGCAGGAAAATAAAATGCAGACACATTGCCAATTTCAAACAGAAGCTTTCATTAATATTTCGCAGCCTACAAAAGGGCTGACACATGAAAAGATTCAATCCTCATTTTTAAATTTTGGTGCACATGTGCACTGACAGATCACTTATTTGAAGCTTTTTTATAGAAATGTTAAAAACTGAAAGGTAGATTGAGTTTGTACAAACTTTGTTCATCATATGGGTTTGTACAAACTTTGTTCATCATATGGGTTTGTACAAACTTTGTTCATCATATGGGTTTGTACAAACTTTGTTCATCATATGGGTTCATACAAACTTTGTTCATCATATGAACTTGACTTTTAGTTATAAATATTATGAAAGCAGGAATGTGCGTGTTGACGAGCTCCTCATTGTAGTTTTTTTGATTCTTTAATAAAATTCGCTGTATATTATTTATATAATTCGTAATGTAAATTTCTTGAAGTTTATTAATTTCGTACTACAAAGGAACAAAATGTTAATGATTGGTAAAATATTTTGTGTGTGTATATTGTGTTAACCTTTAAATTATTGGTTTGATTTTATACAGTTCACTACTGGTGGACTGTATATTATATCATAGTAAAGAGTAATAGTTAAGTAATTGTATGTTTTTGGCTGTTACAAACTCATTGTAAAGAACTGACAAAATAACAGGGTGAAAGCACTTGTATATGAAACACCTAAAAGACTTCAACTGTAATTAGTTAGCTTAATTGCAATATTAATTTTATTTTTGTTTCTTTTTTTGATGTGACTCTTAAATTAACAAAGCCATGGATCCAAAAACAACAATATGAAGTATGAATAGTTTAAAAACTGAATGAGTCCTTATAAAGCTCATCAATAGTTCTAGAGTTAAGAAATGCTTTTAGAACTCGTTTATCTGTAAATTAATGCAAGTTATTTAATAGAAGAGAGTGATGTACATAAGATGCAGCTAAATAAAACGTTGGCCAGACAGCTTAGTTAGTAGATGTGTAAGTATAAAAGCAGGTCAATAAAACAGTAGAGAGCCAGATAAAAAACAAAATCTTTCAGGTTAGTAATATCACTCATTGTGCTCATAATTCTAGGTGAAAGAATCATTGAGGCTCATGTACAGATACCTAGATCTCAGGACTTCTAACCTCCAGAAAAATCTAAGACTTAGATCCAATGTTACGATGAAGATGAGAGAATTTTTGTGTAAACACCATGGTATGTTGTGTTGAACTTAATTAATCTTTACTATATATATATAACAATGAAGAGTAAATTATGTAATTTTTATTTTATAATTTCTACACCTTATGATATCCGACCAAAAATGTTTTACGAGAAATCTTGGCATAAATAAATAGAGCTAGGCGATTAAGTCGATTAATTTCATGAAAATAATCAAGTCATTAATATTTTCGATTATTCCATGGTGGTTCAGCTTAATTGATTAGTGTCATGACTAATGAAAATAATCACCTAATCAAAAATTAGTGTTTCTAGTTATTAAAATTTTTGATTATTCCAATTATTCAAGTCTCGTGTGATAATAATTGATTAGTTGAATGTAACCAATTAGAAAATTCCACTAATCACCTAGCTCTGTAAATAGCGAGAAACATTCAAATATAATATGTACATATATTTTAAGGGTAGCACACCATTCTGTGAAGAAGTAACAAAATTGAGATTAAACAAGATTTGAACCCGTGGATTTACTAAGTGACCGCATGGCTTTCCCAAGTTAAGCCAGCATGCCTTAAAAAACCACATGTCTCTGCTTTCATGTTAGATGAAAACAGCTTGATTATTCAGTGTTTCAAATACTTAATACCAGAATGTATGAAGAGAGAGTAACTGTAGGGTTATTACACTTTCTTTATTATTATTAATTATGATTTTACTATTAGCTGAAACTTTACTATGTGTAACTATGAGAATGTTTCCTTCATCACTAAATAAGGATATCACCATATTCAGTTTTGTCCAGTTTTACCACATAGTGTCTACATTCAGATAATACAATCAAAGTCTACAATATTATATGCATTATAGAGAATTCCTCACCTAATCTTGCTTACCGTATTGGCCTTTATAGATTTCTAACATCTGTTTAGTGTAGTATGTATGATAAGGGACTTGAAATGAATATAACTGCAACTGCACTATTAAATGCCTGAAGCAGTATAATATGTCTACGAGACAAGTTAATGTCTTAAGTAAAGTAAGTGATATTTGTGGTGTTTTTGACGGTAAATACTCACACTGGTTGTATACTCTTAAAAAAATAAATGGCCCCATTTTATGACAAGTTACTTTAAGGAATATCTTTTCTTATCTGTTCTTCATACGTGTGTGTGTTTGTGTACATCTAGTTAATTAGTTTGATTTTTACTAAGGTTTTGTGGATATTGAAACACCTACATTGTTCAGGAGAACTCCAGGAGTAAGTTTATCATTTTATTTTTTACAGTATTGTTTTGATGTATTGGTAACATTTTCTTTTAGACTTTGTGCATATTTTTCAAATAGAATAGCTTTTTATTAACAAATTTTAAATATCTAGAATGGCTTTTTACATTGCCATCATTTAAAGTATTTAAGGTCATATAAAATCAAGTGGTATTAGTAAATGTTAACACTATTTTAAATAGTTACAATTTTATTGTAATTTCTCTTTTGAATAGAACAATGAATCTTAACTAGTATTGAAATTAAATTTTGAAAATGTGACCCAGAAGAATCTCACTATATATGTAGAACCTAAAACTGATCAATCATCTTCTTATCTGCAAAGAAGGTTAACAAAGAGCAAAACTAAATAACGGTAACTTATAAAAGTTAAAATATTTAATGAAAATTTCTTAGCTAATGAAATGTATGTTATGGATACAGGTTATCTGTTAATGCTTGGAGATGGCTTGAATGGGTAATGAAGAAAAACTTTAATATAAGTTTAACATAACAGACTTCTAATTTCAAATCACACCCTTTATTGTATCGCCATCTATTAGAGTTTTAAAGAAAGATAATGTCTTATAAATACACTTCGGATTCCTACTATAATCTTCATGGTGTACCCGATGATGACAAAACCTTGTCGAAACGTTGTACATTTGCTGTTATATTAAAGTTTTTCTTCATTACCCATTCAAGCCGTCTCCAAACATTATTAGTCTCAAAGTAGGTTCGTTTTCATCAAACAGGTTATCTATGTTTCAGTTATTTCATCAAAATTTAAGTACTCAAGAATTTATAAAATAGGATTTTATTTTTTGTTTGAATATGCATGAAATTACATGAGTAGAGCTATTGTTTATACATTTACAGGGATGATACATGTATATATATATATTTTTTTTTTTTACAATTAACATCTTTCAAAAAGTATTTGATTTAAAGATGTCACAAAAAATTTATCATTTATTAGATATTTTCCACAAAATCAATTGTACAGTGATTTATTTCAGCTTATTTGAAAGTTTCATTCTTATACCTGACCAATAGAATTAATAATTAATAAGCATTATACCATATACATATTATTTTTATTAAAAACTTGTATATAATATATGCACACATGCTCAATTGCTTTGCAAGATGAATTTATGTTGGTTTTTGTGGCAAGGCTAATATTATGATAATTGTTTTGTATGTGTATGTTGTATCTATTAGTGTGGATTTTGTTTTTAAATAAAACTATTCATTTAATAAGGGGGCTCAAGAATTTGTTGTTCCAACTCACTCACCAGGGAAATTCTACTCTCTGACACAGAGTCCTCAACAGGTAAAGTTTGTTACTAAGTCAAATATTCTGTTCATTTGGTACTTTTTACATATGTTAGGTTGCTGGTGTAATGCATCTCTCTCATTTTTAATTGTGTGTGTGGTTTTGGGAAAAAGTTTAGAGTAAATTGATAAAATGTTTTGTTCTGTGTTTTCCAGATATTTCTAAATTTATATATAAAAAAAAAAGGAAATTTTCAACTCTTAAACAGAATTTTATTAAAATAATATAGTTATAGGCCTCAGTTTTATATCTTAGCATTCACTGAATTGAATATCTAAATTAATGTTGAATTCAGTAACATTTATTTTCGTTGCTTAACATACCTCATTTAAACCTCTGGAAAAATAGAGTTGTTAAATATATGCAATCATTATCTTTTGTACTTAGTAGTTTAAACAACTACTAATGGTTGGGGCTCTAGACCGATATTTTCAAATTGCTCATTGTTATCGTGATGAAGGGGCTAAAGCTGATAGACAACCTGAATTTACACAAGTAAGTATACTTTAATAATTTTTACATCTGCATAAACCACAGTCTTTCTTTTGAAGTTTCTGTGTGCTGTACATTTTATGTTTCATCTATCAATGAATTAGCAGAAGAATTATTTATGCTAGTGTGGAATTTTATCATAGTTCTTTATCATCTTTTTGTTTAAGTGGAAAAAAATGAATAACAATATGGACATTTTTTTTTCATATTAGAAAACATGACTTATAGAAATGTCTTCTCCACAAGATTAGAAGCAGAAGTTTCAGATTGTAATCAGTTTTTTTTTTAAATAACATGAAATCCAATCTCATTACATTTCATGTTTATAAAAAAGCTTGAATATTTTCCTTTAACAAAAATTATCTAATGACATTAAATTGAATAAGGAAATTTCACTTTGAAAGCAATGAATAATATTTTAAAAATATAAATATTTAAATTTTTATTTCCCTTAAGTAAGAACTGCTTGAAACCTCTTGTTGTGAGATACATATACATGTATGAATGAGATTGTTCTATTAAGTATTATTACTGCTGCTACATGTTTATTTAACTAGTAATTATTTGTAACTCCACATCATTAGTAACTCTAACAGGTGGACATTGAAATGTCCTTCACATCAGCAGATAGGATTAAATCCTTAGTTGAGGGACTCCTTCAGTATTCCTGGCCTAAAGAGGCAAGCAATCTATCCACGCCTTTTCCTAAGCTCACATATAAAGAAGCCATGGAAATGTATGGGACAGACAAGCCTGATACTAGGTTTGACATGAAAGTAAGCCGATGCTCTTTGTTCTTTTTTTCATCATTTAGATTTATTTTTGCGACCAATTTTCACTTACATTAATCTGTGTTTAGTATGAAGCTAAAAACTATGTCTACTGTGCTAATACAGTCAGATGTGACTGTCATACTCTTGTCATTATTTCTGACAAGCATAAAGCACATAATTCAGCATAAGTAACATAGATTTATCAAGCTATTAGTTCTCTATGTAATTAATATTAATAGGAATATACATTATGTTAATGCTATTAGGCTTAGATACATCATTGATTTCAAGAAAAAGTAATACCTCAAAAAAATAGCACGAAAAGAAGTTTGTAGAAAACAAAAGTGCAAGTATTTTCCATTATCTGTAGAATTATAATAAAAAAAAGTACTTGCTTACCCACTCTGATGATAAAAGTTACTCTGAAAATTATTTACAGTACATCACAGAAATTAAGTAAGCAATGAAAGGAAAATTTTGATTTAACACCCTTGTTCACAGAATTATCTAAAACAAAGTATCTAATCTACTAACAAATTAACCTGTGTCAACTGATTTTATAAATAATTATCACTTTTCAAGTTGTTTTCGTTTTTTTGTCAAAATGTCTTATGGCTCAGAAAATGCTGGATGTCATGTATCTCTTCATCCTTACAACTTCACGTAGTGTCTGATTTTGATATTTATACTCCTCAAAGGTTGCTCTCTTTCTTCAAGATGAATGTTTGACATGTTGATAATGATTTTGTTTAGGTACTGCTCTAGATTCTCATTTAGACTCGCATAATTTTGTTATTATAAGTTAAGGATAGCAGGAAACAAAATAATATAGAAAAGTGAAATAGTTTTTCTCACTTAAATACTTTCCTGTCAAAATTTACATAATTTATTGTTGTCCTTTTTCCTAATGTTAAAAGTGATTTAACACAGTTTGTTTATTGTAGATTATAGATGTCACAGATATTTTCAAGAATCAGAATATTGAAATTTTTGACAAAGTGTTAATGAACAAAGAAAATTCCAGTATAAAAGCTATTGTCATTCCCAAGGGTGCAGTAAGTATAAATTTTAACCTTTTGAAAAGTTTTACTTCTAGACAATTTCTGCCATTTTTTTTTAGTTTAAATAGGTGTGTATAATTTATGTAATACTGGTTGGTTTCAGACTATGTGAATTTGGACATTTTATCAAGTATTTTAATTTCACTAGTTGTAGGTCAGAATGCATTAGCTATTGATAAAAAGATATATAAGATTTTACTCATAGTAGTTTGATACGTTAAGATAATGTCTTATCATAATTGCAATAACTGATTCATTATTATTGTTTGTTTTTTGTGATATAGTAATGCATAGTTAAATTGAAAAAAAAAGGTTTATTCAACTCTTAAGACTGAGTGAGTATTGAAGCTTTTAAGTGTTTGAAAAGTATTTTTTAATTACTTCTATACATGTAGGAAAAATGTTGTTTAATAATATCTGGTGAATACTTCGTTAAATTCTGATCTAGTTTTGAGGTGAATCCTAACAAATTTGAATACAAGAATGTACAGTAAGAAGTATTTAGACATATTTTAGACCTGAAATTATAAAATTTATTCTTAGGCATGTTGTGCTACAATATTTAAAAAACAAAAGTGGTATTTTTTAGCACAATGAAAGATAAAATCTTTATTGGATATTTCTGTATGCCATTTTTGGTGTTTGACTTGCAGGTCTAGATACACATATATTACACAGATATTTGAAAATCAAAGTTGTAATCCTTCTCAACAATGCGAGTCTACTGTTAAACTACAAGAGTTAGTTATAATACTTCTAAAAATCACAAATCTACCATGAAACTACAATAATCAGTTATAATCTTTCTTAAAAGCACCAGTCTACCATGAAACTATGATAATCAGTTATAATCCCTCTAAAAATCACAAATCTACCATGAAACTCAATAATCAGTTATAATCCTTCTTAAAAATGCTAATCCATCATGAAACTACAGTAATCAGTTATAATCCTTCTTAAAAGCACCAGTCCATCATAAAACTATGATAATCAGTTATAATCCTTCTTAAAAATGCTAATCCATCATGAAACTACAAGAGTCGATTATAATCTTTCACAAAAGCAGGAGTCCACCATGAAACTACAATAGTCACAATGAGAATAAATTGAACAAGTTAAGGTTTATTACTAAAAGTGTAAAAGCTCATCTTTCATTTCTGGGTTCGAATTTGTGTTTTATTCGAATTGTTTGTAGTTCCAACCTTCACTGCCTTTATAGCTTAGAAAGATTTTATGATATAGTTAAATTCAATTTCACTGTGTAGAATTGGATGTATTCTGCATTTATATTTTTTTAACAGCTTCACATTAACAAATCACTGTTAGAGAAGTTTGAAGAAATTGGAAAATGTTTGTATTCATTAGAGGTACGTATATATTTTATGTAGATAATGATTTGAGAGATAAAAAATATTTGCAGTTAAGGTAATCTTAAACGCAAAACAAATCTGACATTATTAATAAATTTGTATTTTAAGCAGAATCTGTACAATTAACAACAGAAAAAATATTACATAAAAATGTTTTTTTGTGTGACCACCACAAAAAATTACAATGAATATACTATATTATATCAAATGCACACATAATTATAAAACTGCTTAACAAAATGAATACATTTTGTCTGCATATATCATATATTTAATCTACCTTATGACATCAAATTCTCAGGTGTGGGCATGTAGAATTAATTCACTATGATCAATAATGTTTAATTCCAAATATGTAAGTCAACACTTTCTAGACTAATTTGACCTATCTTTTTTATTACATTGAAATATAGCTATAAAACAGTGAAGAATTGAAAATCATTATAAAAAAATATTAAGAAGCTTAAATTTTAAAATCTATGCAAAATGTATCTTTGAGATTATTTTTTATTCTTTTGTTTGGCTGTTAGTAAAGTTTAAATTTATCTTTGAAGGGTTTGGTCAACATTTTTGTGAAGGAAGACCTAAACTGGAAGTCAATACTCTGTAAGCATGTTTCTTTAGAACTTCAGCAGAAGCTAAAAAAAAACCTTGAACTCCAACCACACACACTTGTGTTGATCAGTGCTGGTGAAACTAGAAACGTTGTGAGTACTATACTGAATCAAAAGGCATAGCATTTGTATTACTATGTCATTTTAAGATGCTATTTTTTTGTAAACACAAAAACATATTTCACTCTCTCTTTATGGATAGATTATAACTTTTTTAATAGTTAAATATTAATTCATTTGAAGCCCAGACATGGCTTAATAATTAGCATGCAGGGCTGTGTATTGGAAGGTTCAAGGCTCAAACAATGACACACCATTGAAAATGGTTGGAGATGGCTTGAATGGGTAATGAAGAAAAACTTTAATATAAGTTTAACGTAACAGCAAATGTACAACGTTTCGACAAGGTTTTGTCATCATCATCTTGTCGAAACGTTGTACATTTGCTGTTAC